ATATCAACCAGCTCCCTATCTGACAATGGTGGATGCACCCTTCTAGCCAAATCTCACCACTTCTAGGCATACTCCTTAAATCCCTCATTAGTGGTCATACCCATACTCTGTAGTTGAGTACGAGTAGGCGCTAAATCTGCGTTCGTATTGGTATTGTCAGTAGAAAGCAGCGGCCAAATCTTCCCAGTTATGAACATCAGATCTCTCAAGTTGATAGAACCAGTCCAATTGCGTACCCGACAAACTATCTTGAAAAAAGTGGACCCACAGATCCTTATCAGAAGAGTGAGGTTGGATCTTTCTGACGTAGGACCTCAGATGCATCTTCGGACAGGACAAACCATCGTATTTAGAAAATGTAGGTACTTTGAACTTGGGAGGAATGCCGATCCCAGCAACCAACCCTAGTTCTTCGAAATCCAGCCCAGGTACCCTTTGTACCTCCATGGATGCCAACCGATCCTCAAGATTCTTATACTTATCGTCCGCCGGAGGGTACTGTTGTTCGGAGTAATCTTCATCCCCTTCCTCTTCTTCTTCTTCAGCTTCATACTCGGAGGGTATTGCAACTCCCTTTCCTTTACCAACCCCTTCGTCAGACGTCGAGGGGAATTCCAGAACTCTCCTAGCTTGATTCTTAAACCTTCTTCCCATAGTGGCCACACTAATTCTTTTCTTTTTCTTCTTTTCCTTTTCCTTTTCTTTCTCTAACAGTGCTTTAAGGTTCTCTTGACCCTTTGCTAAGGTCATGAGGAGTTGCTGGAATTGCGAATTCTGTGCTTGCAGATCTTTGACCGCCTGTTCTATATCCATCTTGCTGAAATAAATAGCAGAAAGATAAGGAAACCTGGTGTGAAGACCTGTTAATGCATATGATGAATGATGTGTATTCATGTAATGCATTCAAGGATTCAGAAATTCAAATTTGTTGCAAACAAAACGAACATACGTCATATTAATAAGAAGAAATTTGTTAGTACATAAAACCCCTATGGGCAAAATATTACAAAGCTTCTTAATGTAAAAAGACGTTGCGCATCCTTTTTGGAGCGATGTAAGTGTTAAGAGTCTCCTCTTCGTGAAGTCGGCGGGTAAGTTCCAAAACCTTCTTCTCACTGGCATAGAAGTTGGCTTCAAAAGTGTTCCGCTCTTCCTTGAGCTGTATCCAACTCTTTTGTAATTCTTCCAATGATGTTGGCATGTCTGGATGTAGGAGGGTGTATGGAACCTCTCCTTCCATAATAGGCTCTTTGATTACGGGGAGAATGTAGGGGTAAGGCATCATAAGACTCTGGGTGTGGGTTCATACCCACTTGAGATAAGGCTCAAGGGGGATGGTATTCTTGTGCCCCAGTGTCTTACTATCCACTTTGTTGGGCATCCTCCAAGCTCGGATAAACCTTTGTCGAATTCCTTGAGCATCGTTTTCGAAGTCAAAAACCAAGTCAAGAATTAGCAAGTCATGAGGGCCATCCCTCCGGGCATACCCAAATTGTCTCAGAGCTAAATAGGGGTTGTAGGTAATGCCTCCCCTAATTCCAAGTAGTGGGACATTAGGGAATTCCCCACAATGATCAATGATGATGACATTTTCTCTGGACCGAGAATACCAATGAACATCAGAATGTGTGAGGGTCATCAACCGTTGTGACCATCTTAAACCCTGCTCATTCTTCAAGGCTGACTGGGGAAGGTGAGAAATAAACCACCTTGCTAGAAGAGGAGTACAACACATGAGAACACCTCTTTTCCTCATTGTTCGTGTGTGAAATGAGTGTAGGATGTCCCCAAGCAATGTAGGTACAAGATTCTAAGATATGAAAATCTTGACAGCATTCACATCTATAAGTTGATCAGGGTTTGGGAATAAGATCAACCCATAGATGAGAAGTGCTACAATCTCCTCAAAGGCCTGCAGATCTAGAGAATTCCAATATTCTTGTGCCTTCTCAAACAGAAACTTTGCCAAGAAACCCTTGACACCACTTCTGGTTTCCCGATGACATTTGATATCAGATGGTTGCAAGTGTAAGGCTTGAGCAACATCTTCAGGCTTTGGTTCTCTTTCCGTACCGTTGTAGGGTAGTTGATAAAGAATAAGAATCCTCAGGAGTTGAGAAAATTCCTCCAAAGTAGGTACTAGTTGGTAATCAGGGAATGTGAAATAGTGGTGTAGGGGTCAAAGAACTGGAAGAGGACTTTCACCATGTCTTCTTCAATGTTGGAGTTGACCAAGTTGAGGAGTCTACCATGTCTTTCACTAAAGAGAGAATTCTCTGGAATCTTGGAAGTAAGCTCCTTGAGTTGAGGAGGGATTCTCACAAGGTTGACCTGGATTATTTTTCTGCGGAGTGATTCCATGACCTACAAAACAGGAACAAAGATGAAGATCCAAACCCTTGAAATAGTTAGTGGATGCATATGATGCTTTATGATGTTCATGATGTATGCACAAGCATATGTACAAACAAGTCACACAAGATCCTAGTTTCAGGCTTGCATGAGGTTTCATAGGTAAGTACCCTCTTAAAGTTAGTTGGCTCAACCTGTCCTATAAATAGTAACCGGGTTCTAAGGAGCTCAATATCACTGGATTATTTTCTGTGTTCATTATTTCAGTTTAGCCACTTAACTGGCGACCGAAATATTCCAAGAAAACAATCCTCAATGAGTGTAGTATCGAGTATCTACCAACTTCGGACTGCACCAAAGCCGGTCATCTCACTACCCCTAATAAGGCCAAGTTGGTCAAGTAAGGTTCTAAGAGTTCACTAGTGCTTTCTGACATCACTCAGCGGCCCAATATTCTCTTTGATTGACTCAAAGGCTACCGGTACCCACAAATATGTCGCACTAATATAGCTATTGTTTCAACCATGTCGGTATACCCGACACAGTCTCCACAATGTATTGCTATTTACCTATGAATGTTTCCCAAAAATCCGGGTGGAGGATTCAAACCCAAACAAGAGAACCAAATGTAAGGCAATCAAAGCAATCAAGATAAGCATGTAAAGGTAATCTAAACCCTAAGGTTACTCCACTTTTAAAACAGTCCCCAGCAGAGTCGCCAGTTCTGTGATACGGTGGGAGAACTGACTTGAGGTTTTGCGTTTTGTGTTCGCAAATATTTCGGTTTAGCAAGAGTCGCCACCGACTTTTTATTTTATCCTAAGGAAAGGTCAAAAAGCACAGGAAAGACTTTTGAGATGTTTTCTTGGGTTCGGGGAGTAGATTATGAAAAGGGAAGGTGCAAACACCCTTTTCATCCATGGTTATCCATGGGCTCTTAGTTACTTGTTTAGATCACTTGCTTTTGCTTTTCAATTGTTTGAAATTGTGCTTTGTGTGTGGTTTTGAAAGATGTTTTGAAAAGAGGCCATCGTTGTGGAAACCTTTGTAATGATTCTTGTTTGAATGTATACAAAGATGTTTTTGTCTTTTGAAAAGATGTTTCAATGTATGAAAAGTTTGAAAGTTTATTTTTTGGGAAATGTCTTGAAATTGTGTTGTAAAGTGTGTTTGAAAATAGCAAGGATGTTTTGCAAGTTTTGATCAAGTAACTAAGAGCTATCTACCCTATTTTACTCAAAGATCTTTCCTATATGTTTTTAACCCTTTTGACAGTGTTGTTTTACCATTGCATTTGGTAAACAACCTTGTATTAGGATGTTAAACGGGACAGGCGTGGGTCATCGTATAGACCATGATATCAATTGTGTCAAGTATTTTTGGCAAATTTTTGAGGGACTTGATCATTTTTGTTTAGGCAACCAAGATAGTGTCATCGAGGGACTATGATCTTTTGTTTTGTTTTTGTTTTGCCAAAGTACCCAACATGCATAACATGGCCCATTTTTAAGGCAACAAGTGGAGGTAAACCTAAGGGTGCAAGTGTGCATTGTGTATTGATTTTCATGCATTTTTGTCTTTGTATTAGGTCAAGCTACTTGTTGATTTTAGATTTTTGCATATAAACCCTAATCTCTATCATGGCATAATTGAAAGCATAAAGTGCGAGAATTAGAAGTCTAAGCTATTACAACATGATTATGGGGAGGGGGATACAATGCTTGAATGGGGATTATTTGACAAGAAATTAAAATCCTAGTTTTACTATTACATCCAAATTGAATCAAATGGCCTAAATAATAAATGGACAATATTTAAATAAACAAATTAAATGAATATACAAAATATATGAATATGCAAAAAGTTTATGTTTATTTTCCATGCATGTGAAAATATTTAATGCAAAAAAGGAAAGAAATAAATAAAAGAAAATATTATTTTTTTATTAAGGGTAAACCCTAATTTTTCTTTAAGAAAATAAATATATTGACTAAATTATTTATATACAATAAAATAATGTATGTAAAAAATAAAATATATTTAAAAAGGGTATTTTTTAAGTATAAATAACAATAAAAATAAAAGTATAGTATTTTTATGTTTTTATTCTAAAATATCTATTAGATAAAATAAAAGTATATATGTATATATATATATATATATGTATATATATATATATATGTATATATATATATATATATATGTATATATATATATATAGTATATATATATATATATATATATATATTATATATATATATATATATATATATATATATATATATATATATATATATATATATATATATATATATTATATATAGTATATATATATATATATGTATATATATATATATATATAATATATATATGTATATATATATATATATATATATATATATATATATATATATATATATATATATATATATATATATATATATATATATATATTATATATATATATATATATATATATATATATATAT